CAATTTAAACACTTACCAACTTCATTCTTTCACGGATTTTTCTCAAACTTGATGCAAAGGTCAAGAGTATACTTCGAACATTGTTGTGTTTCGGGGTTCCAAGGTCAAGGCCAAGGTCACTGTTGCTATATATAGAAAATCATCAACTGATTCAATTTAAACACTTAGAAACTTCATTCTTTCACGGATTTTGGTCAAACTTTATATAAAGATCAAGTATTGGTATACCTCTGACATCCTTGTGTTTCAGGATGGTAATAGCATACAGAAAAAAATATATGAATATTAAAATCAGCTTTTCAACTTTAAGTGCAGTACCTTGTTTGTGTGCATGTTTCAGGGTATCAAGATCAAAGTGGTTGTAACTTTTCATATAACACTGATTTCACATGGCAGCGGGGGCATTTATGTCTTACAGACATTTTCTAGATTTATATTTGAAACTGGTTGTAAATTATACGCATGATTCTTATATTGTGATAAGTATCAGTCGCTGGTAATATGCTAGTATATCTGTTGTATTAACTGATGTAGATTTGAGTTGTGACCATCGTAAGCGTTATACGCCTACTATATTAGTGTAGGTGTAATTTACCTGTTACGATTGCGACTGAGTTGTTCAGTATTTTGAAATAGTAGCATTTATATAGTGAAGCGAGAAGTTGTCAGGTGCGTTAACCAGTCTGGTTGGAATATTCCATTGTGTGAATGTTCAATGTAGAATAAGCTTATACTTATTGTCGTTATATTGTTTTTAGTTTTTTTTAAAGACCATGGAATAAATGATGAAGCGAGCACAGTGTTGTCAGTGATCTTTACGAGTTCCAACGACCCTAGTGAATAGCAACCAGCTACTACACCTGCATTAACAAAACAAAATATTGAGTAGTGTCGCCAATGTTGTCATTTCTATCACATGTTTTATTAAATATCCTGTAGCGGTATTCCCTGTCGGTCCTATCCAGAGAGCACGTGCATTAACAAAACACAACATATCATCTATCAATCTTTGTGATAACTACTTGTGTATTCGGATATGCACCAATACATCTAATGCTACTTTTCATCTTTACTCCGCCAAAAGATCCATATACTATTGATCCATATGTGTAAATTGCGTCGCAGAAACTGTTCTTTTTTCAAAAGTGAAAACAGATGTCTGATTAGTTCTGTTTTCTAAAATCAGATGTTGCTATTATTTCTGAATGATAAAACATTGTCAGATACTCGAACGTAAATTTATAGTCTGATCGGTCAAAACCGGATAAGATTAAAGAGATACATATTTTGTTTTTTAATTGTGATACATCTCAAGTCGAAATGATATTTACGACTCGTTGAAAAGCTAACCTGGCTTTGTCACTAGTTTAAGGAAAGATAAATCATTCTCAATAGATGCTTAGTTACTATATTTCTTATAATATATGATTAATATTAATAAACAGCATATTTACCGAATGTTCACTTCGCCGTTGTTGAAGTAATATGTGCAAATCCATAGGTTTCTGAATTGCCGACAATCTATCAATTTGAAATAAAACGGAGAAAAAATGCCCAGTTCTTGACATATGCAATGCGCTGAAGCACAAAATCTGAATTATTTATCAACAGAGAGGCAGGTCTGTATCTTGTTCGTTTTGTAAGTTCTGGTAATAAAAGATAAAAGAGTTCAAAATCAATATAAATTGTCATTTTGATAGAATTTGAGATGGAAAAAACAATAAAACGGTAATAAAGTGGTGTAGGTAAAACCATTGTTCGAACTCAAAATCGATAAAGCTATGGCAAAATATGAAAAAATAATAATGTTTACATTGGAACCCTTCGCAAGGTAGAAAGAGAATAAGACAATGTGTTCCGGAAGGGTAAGCGTCTTCTGCTTCATCGATGACACCCGCCATGTATTTCTGAGTCGAATCCATGTATTGCCATGTTCTCACACCGAAAACCCGTTCAATGACAACAAAACTATACGGCACACTTTGAGCATAATAAAAAAAACGATATTCGTTAAACACGAGGAAAGAACTTGTCCCCCTGAGAGATCCTGATGGCAACCATAAAAGAACAGGTAACATATCATTGTTTTTCTAAACGGCGAAGTTAAAACGTCATAGCATTGTTCCCCGGTACTTAACAGTCACACTTACATTAGTTACCTGTCAGACATGAATGAACATTGAGAACATATAAAATTGCAATATAAAAACAGACTTAGCAATAGATTAAACACAACGATTTTTGGACGTAACCCAGATCATCTGCATGGAAGGCTGGATATGTTAACCGCTTGACTAAATCCGCCAATATACAATTATGTTTGTAATATCCATGGTTGTCGTCTTGTTTTGTTTGATTTGTTTTGTTTAATTAATAAAATTATGAAACGTTATTTAAGGACGTGCATCCATGTGTGTTGTGTATGTGTGTATGTGTACCGGAGACTAGGTATGTTGGTGTATCTACATCCTTGTGATAGCGCGGATCTGATGCCGACTTTACAGTGCTATCTCACTGAAATACTATGTTTGTCTAATATTTGTTTCAATTTAAGGACTCGAGCATCTTATCAAAGTTAATATCTGAAACAAAACTAGTGTAACGGCGTCATATTATTATAAAAGACACCACAACAGCATGTTGTACATAATGACAATAAAATTATTTTAAGATCGATGCAATCACAAGATGATACAACAAGGCTATAATCAATGTAATAAAAAGAAGCAAAATTTGTTTAGTATTGTTTAACGTCCTATCAACAGCTATGGTCATTTAATGACGGCCTGCTATACGTGCATGATGCATGCGTGTAGTGTATGCGTGTGTGTTTTGGGAAATAAGCAAAATGTATGTAAGTGATACAAAACCCGAACGAAGTGTCGCTTAAACTACATCGCCTATTCTCCAGGCGTTACGCTCACTTTGGCTTTCTGCACTATTGGAATATGTCATAGCAAAATTGAAGGCACGCGGATAGCTATTTGATAGTTTAAGTTACCTGACCAATCGATATGCTGATACAAGTTCTTTGAAGATTACAGAGGAGCAACGCCCGACTTCAGAGCCAGTTAAGTTAACCGTTACGCGGCCGCGATATTCTTTTGATGGACGTTAAAGGATCAAACTTGTCTTTTTGTGTCCTCCGTAAGGAGGTTCACACTGAACGTTCGACTTTGTTATGACAAATTCCGGGGGTGCAGAGAGCATAAGTGAACGTTACCCTGAATTACCAAGGATGATGCGACTACAGCAATTAGTGAGTATCCACAAAAGATAAAGGGAAGGCATCTTAGTACTAACTTCTCAATGTTTTCTGTTATATAGTTGGTGGTTATATATAGCAAATCCCTCAGGATGCAGGGGTTCCCACGATTGTTGACACTTACGACATGTAGTTGGTTTGTGTTTGTATTGTTTTACGGGCCATACACAATGCAATTAATCTAGGACAAAAACACTACTGAAAATATAATTTATTTAAAATGAATACATTCAAACAAAACTAGTGGATAAAACAAGGTACAGTCCTTCCTCAATCCCCGACCTCCAGGGTGCTGTCATCTTCGAAATTTCACGTGTTAAGCTTACATACAATGTGTCATGACGAAATGGAAGGCTGTGTTAACGCCATCCGGAACTATTAAAAAAGGCAACCGTGTCGCTTCGAATTCGTCATGACATATTCCTGGGCTACACAGGAAGTAAGAGAGTGTAATCCCTGGAATATCAATAAATAGCGTAATTTGAGATCAAACACACTTTAATCATATACTAGTTTTATTTACAATTTCTTATCAAAAGGAAAATGACAAGGGTTTAAGAAATGACAGATGTTGGAAATACTCATGGAGTAAGATAAGACAGGTTTTATTCTTTCTAACAATCTACAAAAAAATTCCATTTTTAGAAGAAAAAAAAATGCACAAGGTCTCGCCTATTTCAATATCATACTCTTAAACGTGACAAGAATATTGAATCTAGTTCACTTGTAAGCATTTTACAGTACTATTAGAATTACATGATATTTTTGATAACACTACCAGCAAGCCATACAGGGGTACGTCTTTCCAATAAAAGAAACTGAAAGAATATGCTACTAATAACCTATCTTAAAGATCGATGTAAGTATTTTTGCACAAAACGAGTCAAACATTAAAGTATAATAAAGTACGAAAAATAAATGTCAATACACTAAGACAAAATTTCTTCGTGAAAGTAGTGACAAAAACAAGATCAGGAACGGATAAGACATATGAATAAATGTCCTAAGTAAACCTACTTCTCCATACAGCTAATGTATTTAATAATTTAATAATAATTTTCGCTTTTTAACGATAATTTTTTTTCGCGAACATGCAAAATTCGAACAAAAAGAGCATAATCATCGAACCTTAATAACCACATTGTGGTAAAAATGTCCCAAGCAAGCTACCGCCATGATATATAGGATGACAAAAGTAAACCATTAATAACATATTAAAGATGATGCAATTTTTTTTTTCATAAACAAGTCAATTATGCATGATTAAGTAAGGAAAAGCAATGACGATACACTGACACAAAATCTCTACGTAAAAGTAACGCAAAAAAAAGAAGATCTGAATCGGATGAGATATCAGAACAAATGTCATAGTAAAATTTCTTTTCCATTCAGCAAATGTATTTTATCCCCCAGATCTATAATATTTGCCCCGCGGAAAACCCCATTAAAACATATATTATTTCCACCTTAACATAGCACATTGACACAACAACCGCGAAAATATAACCCTCAAAATGTACCATTTTTACCAAATCCGTTAAGTTTAGAGACCAAAATTGACGATCCTATTAAATAGTACTGCTGAACGGAAACAAATAGGGTAACTGTGAATGTATTTCAATATGTTTACCTTTCAATGACAGTCGATAAGGTTGAAATTCAGAAAAGTTGTGGAGCAGTTTTTTTTTATTTCAGTTGGAATTCATTTCCATTGGATCGTCCAACCAAGTCCACTCTAAAACCATTTGTACACGAATCCCCCGAGAGTGATGGCGTCCGGTACAACGATCACCCCGACAACTGCGGCCAAAACGACACAAGCTAGACACCCCATAGCTACACTGCTAGGCCGGGAGTCATACACACTGATGAATTTACGCTTCTGAATAGACAGGTTGGTTTTGTTCACAGCCAGCTGAACCTTCAACGCATGTTTGATCTCATCACGTTCTTCTTGGTCGAGATTTCGTGTCTTGATTGACTTGAAGCAACATTTACTGCAGTTGTCATTCACGACTGCAGAAGGAAACAGAGTAGTGGTTGTTGACAATGTTGATAAAACAGCAGTTTGTTCTTTCCAGTTGGATGTAGATAGACCAGAAGACGTCACATCAGCAGGTTCGGTTGTGAATATCGTATTTGGAACAGTAGACGAAACATCAACTTCTGGTTGGTTAGTAGCCGTAGACGAAGCATCATGTTTGAAATCAGTTGCTACTGTCAGGGATGTTGTTGTTGCAACAGTAGACGGCATATCATCATCTGGTGTGTTGGGAGTCGTAGACGAAGCATCATTATTTACATCAGTTGCTCCTGTCGGCGTTGTAGTTGCAACAGTAGACGAAACATCATGTTTTACATCAGTTGCTACGGACGGGGATGTTGTCGTTGCAACAGTAGACGACATTTCAGCATCTGGTTTGGAAGATGTATACATAATGATAATTATTGGTATGATGAATTGTATATTGCATTGCCGAAAGTTATATGTTAAAAGCTATTTTACTCTATCGATTTCTTGTAAGTTACATACATTTCAATTATTGCAGAAATTCATTAACAGATGACTACAATGTAGATCATCTATATTACAAGGAGAGGTATTCAGTGCCAGGTAAATATTCGTCCTTTACATAGGATCAACATATCTAGACTCAGTGACTACCATCTTTGCTAAAATATAAGGGCTTTCAATCACTTTCTTACTGATGGTTCGAAAGATGATCATATGGTAGCCGCAGGAATGTTTGTTAAAGATTCTCTCGGAAGCCCTTGTTATATATCTCAATCTTTAACAGATTAAATCAAATGATAACCGACGTCAATTGTCTATTCGGATTCTCTTAGCTGTTCTACATTCTTCTCAACAAAAAATTTGAGGAATAATTCAATAAGTAAAATATTAAGATTATTACATATTAATTCCTCTAAATGTCAAATCGCATAACGCTGGATTCCCGGACATAAAGTAATAACAGGTGATGACAAAGCAGATCGCGCCGCGAAAGCTGCTTTATATATATCACCTGATTAATCTTAAACTTCATTTTACATCTTTTAAACCGTCAAGATGTTGAAAAGGATTTATACTCTATAAAAACATAAAATCGTTGAATGGTATCCCAGCTATACAGCCGGGATGAGGTTGTACTTGCCCGTCCCCTAACGTGATATCCAGAACTCGCACAACTAAATTATTTACTAAGCTTTTCAGCTGATAGCTTTAACGTTTGAAGAACAACATTAGTTAAGTTTGGTTGTATTTTGTTTAACCTCCTAGCAACAGCTAATGTCATTTAAGGACGTGCCTCCATGTATACAACGTTGTGTACGCATGGTTGCGTGTGTGTGCAGGAGGCAGGGTTTGTTGGTGTATTTGCCTCCTTGTGATATCGATGGTCTGATGTCGGCTTTATATTGCTGATTACAATCGTATAAAACGCTTGCTGATTGGCTGATTAAGTTGTGGAACCTTTATACATTCCCCATTCTTAGGTATTAAGGTGCGAATACCAGTCTCATTGCATAGTACGAACCATTTTTAAGTAAAACGCCTGCTTTTGCTGTTTCATTACAAAGACCTTCAACCAACAGGGCATATTCTTTAATATATAAATGTAATAAATATCGCACCTCTTTTCGAAACAGTAAGTGTTGCTACAATTCACCGGAATACTGTTTGTCTTCGAAATTTTATATTTAATTTATTTTACAATGATCATTCCCTTAAGTATCTTTCATTGATCATTTCATGACCCTAATGATCTATTCTGTGTTGATCGACCATTGAAAATATACAATAAATATTCAGAAAGTGTACAGATTTTTGTCGTCAACCTTTTAGTGATGAAATATAGCTGATGGAAGTTGTACCTTATTAAATTCTTAACTTTATTTCATTATTATTGTATTCATTTACAGTTGAAATTTGCATGTGTCAGTAAGCTTAGGTTGATTTCATTAAGTTGAAAACCAAAACGGCCACGGAATATACTCTACGGACTTTTATTTTTTTATTTTTTTTTATTTTTTTTTACATATTTCCACTTTATATACTAATAGCCATGGATTTTTGTTGATATACATTTATGCTCAAATATATCAATTAGTATTAAGTCTTTTATACAGGTACTTAAGCGATAGAAGCTAATAAAAATCAAGGAGAAATAATATATAATAATATATAATATTTCTGTTTCTGCTGTTTAGGCTAGACTTATGCTTTTGCACGGCCATGGTTCGACAGACCTATCTAGTTTGTGCGTATAACTTCCCCTCGACCTTTGTGTTAACTATTAATTCACAGTCTTTAATTGAATTTAATAGTCAGTGCAGAAGAAATTACCTATCTGACATATCGCTTTCATTGATTTATCACACGGGGTCGTTCGCATCCAATTGTTATGCAGTCTAACACACCGTTTTGCTGGACAATAATTTGGTTCTGCAAAATCGTTGAACCATCTTGCCCATCCGTCATATATCCATGGTGTCCTGTACTTAGTTGTGTCGCACTGTACAGCATCATCAAATTTTAAGCCAATCCAGTATTCTCCTGTGTCCCTTTAAATCAATTACAGAAATATAAATAAAAAATAAATAAAAATATGATGTATAAATAAGACAAACCGATCCCAGTTAAATTATCCCTAATACATTGCTTGGCAACGCCTCACTTTCTGCCTCAATGTTGAGTTTTGCGTCCATGGCAGGACACACAAGATTCCTAAACGTCTGCTTATCATTCGGCATAACGGGTTATCGCAACAACTTTGTTTACCTGTTGTCAGTATAATGTGACCGGGCGGGATGCTGTGCCGGGTACTTTTGACATGGTATATCTGAGGAAGTAACACGTGCAGGATCAAACTGAATGATCGCAAGAGGCGACTAATTTAGCCCCCCTGCAGAGTTTGGGTTTTTCTTCCGTGTCTTCTACGAAGAGAACATGGAAGACACCAAAATGTATCTGTTCCCCCATTGCAACACTTGTGATTGTTTTCTTTTTCAGTCTTCTTTCTGTTTCCCCATTCACCCGTCCTCATATGACCCTGTTTCACGTTCAGCATTCAGGGAAATGGCAACAACTGATTCACCCGTTGTCAGTATAATGTGACCGGGCGGGTTGCTGTGCTGGGTGCCTTCGGCATGATATTTCAGTGAGATTTAACCAAAACACTAAAGTGGGCTTCAGATCCGCTATCACAAAGAGGGAAATACATCAACCGACCGTGGTCAGCACACATGCAAGCAGAGCCCCCCCCCCCCCCCNTCACAAAGAGGGAAATACATCAACCGACCGTGGCCAGCACACATACACACATGCAAGCAGAGGCACCCCCCTAAATGACCTTAGCTGTTGATACGACGTTAGACCCTTAACAAACAACCAGCTCTAACACTCCACTACTAGGTTGCGGGTTCGATGCCTACGTGGGGCATTCCACAGGTGCTGATAGCAGGTAAATATATTTTTTCCGGGTGCTCCAGTTTTCCTCCACCGCCAAAACCTAGCATGGCATTAACTGACCAACGCTGTTAAAAGGACATTGATAAAGTATTGAAAAAACAAAATAATTTATACCAACCAATTAGGCATTTTAGCGGTATACTATCTGATGCATCAATTACTATACTCTGAAATGAAGTATTCTTACAAGTGTTTTTGTTGGTATTCGTCGTTAGTAATGAAGAAATTCCCCTTTTCCTGACTATCCAGTACTATGAGGCTCCCTGTCGTTGCCGTGCAATACTTTTTGGCGTCTTCCCATGTCAAACCTTTTGGACTTATTAACAGCTCCGTGAAGAAAGGAGTTCCTTCTGTAAATAAGAGAAACATAAATAGAGAAAGATATCCTGATTTTTATAAAAAAAATGTAATTTCTCAAACTCTGCATTGTTTATTTCAGCGTTATAGAAAGCATTATAAAGTCGGCATCAGATGCGCATTATCACAAGGAGGCAAGCACACAGGCATACCTAGTCTCCTGCAAGCACGCATACACTTAAACACATGGAGGGGCGTCCTTAAATGACCTTAGCTGTTAATAGGACGCTAAAAAAATTAAACCAAACCAAATCAGTCAATGAGTCAATTAGCTGGTCCGAAGCTACTTGAGGAATTATACTAAAATAGGGATACATGTAGTATGATCGTCTTGGCTTATAGTTGTGTAGCTCAATAAAAGTTGGATCGGGAGAGAAAAAGACCACTTGGCAATCATCTTGGATTTAGCATATCACGTTTGTTAACGCCAATTATCAAACAGGAACTACTAAGAGTCTTGCAACGGAACATGGTATACACTATTCATTAGGCTCTCACCGTGCCCAATAGTTAATTGATCGATTTTCCGCATGTCGTATTTCGGGCAAACCAGGACAACTTATTAAACAATTGCAATATTGGACACCATCATTTTCTAAAAACACTAAAAGACTAAAAGGATCATGATGAAATGTAATGTGCATTATCGACTTTTGTCCATGTTGTGCCTGCTCGATTTCAGAGCAAGATCATATATAATCTTGATTTGCATGATCCCATTGGTACCTCTGCAAGTGTTTGTTCAAGAGAACATAAAATTAAGAGAAAATATCATATGCATCACTGTCCCAGCAGGTAGGGCGTAAGAATTGTACCTGCTGCCCCATTGCTTGATCGTAAGAGGCGACTAATTTTGGAACCATATCTTTTCTCTTCTTTCTGAACAACTTTCTTCTTCCTAATGTCTCCCTTGACAATGCATCACTTTTGGCCTTTCGTTGAGCTTTCGCCCCTGTGAGGAAGGCTTTGGGGTCTGTCCCCTGGCCGAGATATAACAGAGGCTGTTAAGATGGTATTTTCTACTCCTGCTTAACGCTCAGCAATTTAGGAGTGGGACGACTGGTTCGCCCATTGTCAGTATAATGATACCGGGTGGAGTGTCCTGCTGGGTGTCTCGGCAGTATGCTTCAGTGAGGTAACACTATACAGTCTGCATCTGTACCGCGCTATCACAAGGAGACAAACACGAACATATAGCAGCCTCCAAAAACACACACACACACACATACACTACACGCATTCATCTTGCACACAGGGGAGGCCGTCCTTAAATGACCATAGCTGTTAATAGGACGTTAAGCAATACTAAACCAAACCAAACCAAAGCAATGAAAAACAAAAGGCCCAATGGGCCTGAATCGCTCACCTGGTATTAATCTCGCACTTGTAATCTTAAACGTGGACTAAAATACAACTAGAGGCAGAATATCAGTGTTTAATTCATAAGAACCTATTAAAAGATTTAAACATATGACGACTGTGACCTTGAATGTCGAACAAGGACATTAGATTGAACAGATTTTATAGTCTTCCAACCCAGCATGCTTTTGCCAAAATATCATTACCCTGGACTTTTTGGTTATACAGAACAAGTCATTTAAAGATTTAAA